AAGTGCTAGGATTACAGGCATGAGCTGCCACGCCCGGCCTTATTCTCTCCCTGACTTCTTATATATTTGTCCCTGTGCTGTTTCTACATCTGTTTCTCAGTCTGGAGGGCTTTGAGGTTATGCAGACAGGCACAAATCCCCTCCGTTTCTTATTAGCTTTATAACAGTTTCTTCATCTGAGGCCAGGCGCAGTGGCTCATGTATGTAATCCCAATATTTCGGAAGGCAGAAGTGAGAGAATAACTTGAGCCCAGGAATTCGAGAGCAGCCTTGGCAACATAGCCAGACCCCATTCTCCACCAAAAGGGAAAAAAAAAATCTCATCTAAGAAAGGCAGATGCTAGTTTACTCACCTAAGGTGGCTAGAATAAGAAATGTACATTTCATGCCTGGCACATAGTAAGGACTGAATTAAGGTCAAATAGTAAGGAATGAATCAAGGTCAATTGCCCTCTGCTTTCTTCCTCAACGCACTCAGACAAACTAATGCTCTGCTTCCTCAAAGTAGTGAGGTAGGACTTTCTCTGCATTTCCCTGAGTTGAACTGGACAAGACCCGTCATCCTATGCTTTGACTTTAGACCAGACTGGTGGGCAGATGGGGGACAGGTGATGTAGTATGGAGGGAGAAAGAGTGAATGGCAACTAAACAAACTTGAGTGACTGTGTCAACACCTTCCTGTGACTCATTGCCCCATTCCCCATCACTCCTCACCCAAGCCTCGCTTTTTCCAAGACCCAAGCTGATTCCAGTGAACTTCTTCCCTCCAGGTATCATCCTGGAGTGCAGCAATCAGAGCTAACAGGTCCTGAAAGCATCCACCACTATATCACCTCCAGGAGGCTGAATGCACCCTGAGGGCAATGAGCCCGAAAGGAAGTGGTGCGGAGCTCCCTCCTCCTGGTGTGTGTGCACACACGAGCACACCATCATGCGTCCCTGTTTCTCCCTTTGCTCCCACAGCTAGTTGTGGGCTAGAGCACAGCTTCCACGCTCAGCTTACTCCCCAGGAATATTCCACTCATCTCCTCTTTTATCTGGCAATTATTATAGAGTGTTTCAGCTGGTTTTCTTCTTAATTACACTGCTTTTTTTTGTTGTTATTATTGTTTTAAGACATAATCTCCCTCCTGTCGCCCAAGCTGGAGAGCAGTGTCATGATCTCAGCTCATGACAACCTCCACCTCCCGGGTTCAAGTGATTTTCCTGCCTCAGCCTCTCTAGTAGCTGGGATTACAAGCGCCTACCACCATAGGCTGGCTAATTTTTGTATTTTTAGTAGAGATGGGGTTTCTCCATGTTGGCCAGGCTGGTCTCGAACTCCTGACCTCAGGTGATCCACCCACCTCAGCCTCCCAAAGGGCTGGGATTACAGGCATGAG